GCCTGGGCAATCGAGCCTTGAACCAAGTGGACGTGTCCAGACTAGACCGGTGCCAGGGGTGGCTTGAGCCTCTAGTTTTCAAGGTGCCCTGTGTGCAATCTCTGGGCTGCTTGTTTTGGGTCTGGAAGCGTAAGGACCAGAGGTGCGGGTTTGGAGACGTTGGATTTGGGGCTGCAAGCTGGATTTTTAGACGGGTGCAGTTTGGGTTTGGGTGGCGAAGCCTTTAGTGGGAGGCCCTGCCCGAGGCCCTGGGAGGCCCTGGGAGGCCCTGGGAGGGAGGCCCTGAGCGCCTGCAGCGGGCCAGTTCTGTGCGATAAAAGCCTTGAAGGGCCTAAAAAGAAGAACGATTTGGAGGACACTGCGGTTCGCCCTGCCGGGCCCACCGCGCTGCCCACAGCGCTGGGAGCTCTGTCGCCTGTCGAAGGGTTTGGGCTCCAGAGCTGCCTCGCCTGCCGGCTTCGGCGCGTTCGCCCTGCTCTAAACTGAGGTTTAGGATTTAAGTTGGGTACTGCCTCCACTCAGTAACAGTTGGATAATGATCATAATATGGTTATATATAGCCCTTAATAGGACCCCTAATATAGACTGTTACTGGGGGGGAAGTACCCAAGGTATACCTTAGACCCAGAAGACCTTCAGTTTTGGAACCCTATAGTATAATTCTTTACATGAAATCCTAAAACTGAAGGTCTTTGGGGTCTAAGGTAGGGCTTCCATAAAAACGCCCCCAGAAGAATCATGTGCTGGTGATAGGCTGCTCGTCTTGGGGGGCGCAGTTGCCGAAATCCCCTTTTAGCTCCCCCCCTTCAACGCAAGCCTAAAGATCAAAACTAAAACCCTGGACCCTCCTACAATCCCTACACACAAGCAGCTTGCAACAGCTGAACAACTTGTAAATAAACTCAAGATTCAAGATTTCTGAAATCTCAAAAATCCATAAGTCAAGACCTATTGTGATGTCTCAATCCCCCACAACCCCACCAACTTAAACGCCCCTGAACCCTAAACCTACTTCCTTCACCCTGGACCCTGCCCCCCGTTAATGCCTTTTGGCCTAGGCAGATACGTTTTGCAGATATACGGGAACTTGTACCCCCAAAAGTTTGGCTCCCTGAACCACGGAATACAGCCCATAATGAGGGTATTTGGGACCCAAAGCCCAAGGTCACAAACCTCAAGGGTACAAACTTGAAGTCTTTGAAGTGGTAATTTCCCAAAATGGGGGGACCCCAATATAGACCCCAAAATGCTATAGTCCTTATTATCGGGGCCTCTGAAAAGGTACCCCTAATTTTGGGAAACCCTCAAGTATACCTGAAATCCTAAACCCTAAACCCTATAGACCCCTATATGGGTGGTTGTCAAAATTATGGTCCCTATTTGGATCCCTATTATAATACGGCACCTAATATTTAGGGTACCCAAAAAGGGATCATAATTTTGACAACCACCCATATAGCTATATAACCCCTAGAACCCCCTTTAAGGGTAAACCCTAAACCCTAAACCAAAATCAATCTATCCTTGCCTCCTTGGCCTGCTCTTGGAGCTCTGACAGCCGTGGTTTGAGAGCCTTCCAGGATTTAGGGTTTAGCGTTTAGGGCTTAGGGGTTCAGGGGTTCAGGGTTTAGGGTTTAGAGTTTGGGGAAACTTACATGAGCTATAATGGAGAAGCAAATAGAAAATAACATGGAACATCAAACGGATACTGGGAGTATATAGGGGATTATAGGAGTTATGGTCTAAACTCCTAGTATCCCCCTTAGTAAGCTCTATAATACTCATCTATCTAATGCCCTATATGGGTCCCTTTAAGGAGTTTAGACTCTAGCTCACGTGCAACCTGAAAAGGGGCTGTATTATTTGGGGAATTCCCAAAATTAGGTGTACCTTTTTGAGGTCCATCTAATTAAATATTGTAGTAGTCTGGGGTTATACGGGAGTCCCCCTATTTTGGGACACTACCATACTTATGGCTTCTTGTAAGGGGCTTCGATGGGGCTCCATGTTGGTTGATGGTTGGGCAGCTACGGAGGGTGGGTCCGGCGTAGAGCTCGGGCCGGTATAGGCAAGAATGGCAGGTTTTCGAATCCCTGGAGGCACCATTCTGGTAACAGCCGTTGTGTTTTGATGTTGCAGGTCCTGCGATTTACAAATATCAACAATTACGGGTATGGTGGGCGTCCTGAGTAGAATCTTGGTAACCATCACGCTTGTTGATGTCGCTCATCGCAATTGCAAAGCTAGCTGTCAACAGTCGCACGGATGGTGGGTGTCCTGGTCATGATCCGCGAAGCCGTCATTGTCTTTTGATGTTTCAAGGCTTAGTTAAGAAATCCCGACAGTCGCAGGGTGGTGCATGTCCCTCAAGGGCAGAGAGAAAACCACCCACACCATCTGGCCGACCAAAACAAAAACTCAGTGCCGAACTGCTACACGCTTCAGAAATCCTGTCACATTGCCACTTCCATCAAGCGGACAGCCTGTTGCTGGGTTGCTGTTAAAGAACTTAAATTAAGTCACCATAATGGGTATATATAGTAAATAGTAGGGTTCCCCCAATATAGTAACTTAATTTAAGTTCCTTAACAGCAAACCAGCAATGCTCAGGAGCACGGGGTTCCTGATGTCAGGACAATACCATGCTGGAGTAGACAATGCCACGCTGTGGTAATCAACACAAGCCCCCAACCACACCCACAAAGGAGAGGAAAACGTCCTCAAAAACAGGACAAAAACATGCAGAATCCCATCTGAAGTCCCGCAGGAACTGTGATTATACCTTCGGCGGATAATTTACCATAGCATGGGGGGGTGTCTCGGTGACATTGCTCCATATACTAAAATTCCGTGGGGACCGACGAGGGAATATATTGCAACTTCAGTTCAGAGAACATATGGAAATTCTGAAGACTATGGGTCCTGTCTTAAGGGTTCTACCAAGTGTATTTTTTGTGAAGCTCCCATATTCTCCAAGGCCCTGACATGGCTTTCTCAAACAAAAGGCTGGGCAGTTGCTTCAGTAAAAAACCCTGCAAAGAAGCTGATACATTTAAAAAATGCACAAGGCATCTATTGTACGGTCCTTAAAATTACCAGAATCAATTTGCTGCCAGTTTGAGGAATCTTTGTCCCGTAAGTATACAATGACCCTGGGCCAGCACAAGTTCCAATTCTTAAAGAATCTGCAGTACCTCGCTCTACATTTTTCAGAAGACCCAGCACAGCCCCAAAAAAGTAACAGTCTCTAAATACTGTCTCCACAACACAGCACCTCTCCGTAATCACCAAGGAAGGACCCCACCCCCCCCAAGCGAACTTCATGACACCATCCCTGACATAAAATACCCCTAAGCCCTATCTGAGATCACTACGTTAAGGGTCCACTAACTCCAGGTAATATGTTCTATCTCCTTCATAAGCCCATTGCTACCTCATCATAACCCTTCCCGTTAATACCCCTCGGGTCCCACAGAACCAGGGGTTGCGGAACTACTTATACAAGGTCACTAGGACCACTAGGAGATCGCTATGGACTTAGCGTGGGGCTACTGCAAAGTTACGGTAGGATATGAGTCCAGAGTTCCCAAGGATCGCCCCTGCGGAATACGCAAGATCGGCACTCGATTTGCGGACCCTAAGCACCAAAACCCTAAACCGCGTGGCTGCTCTCAATCTCCACCACATCGACGATGCTACCGATTAAATGATTCAAGGAGATCTAGGTGGGAAAATATCCGTTGGGTACCCTTGAAGGAGGCCTATATAAACTGTATATATCCTCATTACCCTAGACGATATAATGTGAGCCTTATATAGGGGTTACCCAACTGGTAACTACCCACCCGGGAGTGTCCGTGAATCATAGCCATCTACGGCCGTCAGGCCGTATCCATCCCGGTTCTTTCGGTGCACCCCCACGCGCACGGGTGCAAAGCGCATGCGAGTGACCAAATGGTGCCACTTCAGGAGGCACTTGGCATCCTGGACCCAAAGAGCCCATGTAGGCATATAATTAATACATACTTAGGGCGGCCCAGGTGTATGCTTTGGGACAACCTTCACCTGGAGAAACTTGTGACCATCCGCCACTTCCCGCATGAAGCTTTCCATCTGCGCGCCCGCATCTGCAGGCAGCGCGCTTGCTGCAGCACACAGGGTCAAACTGCTATGTCCTGGTTGCTCCCTGATTCCTATACCCTGAACCCTAAACCCTAACCACTAAACCCTAAAGCCTGTCTTTCTCTCTCAGGTGGCTAGGGGGGACCTACACAACCTGCTTGTAATGCCGATATGTGGGGATTTCTCAGAACACTCCTCCCTAGAATCAGTTGCCCTTTGGGGTCCCTACCCTAAGCCCTCCCAAACCCTTCGTTTTGAAACTCCCATGTTCCTATTGTCAGCTGCGGCCGCCCTGTTATTATGACAAACCATCGCAGGGGGTTCTCAAAAAGTGCGGTGTCCTTTCGGGGCACCCCGGAGATATATCTCTCCCTAAGGGTCCAGGGACCAAAATTATAAAGTTTTAGTGCGCAAATACTAAAATACTGTTGGTATTTGGGCCCTGAAGCCCTATTATTTGGGTCCTTGGACCCTAATCCCTAAACCCTATATATTCCCCTATAACCCCTTTAAAGGAACTCTATTATTTGGGTCCTTGGACCCTTTTGGTCTGAGTATATGGGGAGTATACACGTCATCCCTCAGGATGATGAAACAAATGTTTCATATACTACCCCAAGCCCTAAACCCTGAACCCTAAACCTTAATTCCTAAACCCAAACTCCTGAATGCTAATTCCTAAACCCTGAACCCCTAAACCCTAATATAGCTCTATTGTAACCACAATACAAATATAACCCTACGTGGTATAACCCTAATAACTTACTAATAACCCCAATATAACTCCAATACAACCCTAATATGACCTTAATATAACCCCCAATATCACCCCAATACAACCCTAACGGCCCTAACATAACCCTAGTATAACCCTAAGGTGACCCCATTAAAGCCCTAATCTAACCCTAAACCCTCAACCCCAATTCCTTAACCTTACACCCTGAACGTTGTGCCTGGGTGAATCGATGAAACTCTCAAACCCCGGGTCGTGGCCTCCCATAGCTTCCAGGCCTTGTCCTGGAAATCCTTGGGTTCGGATGAAGGGTTTAGGGGCAGGCAATACAGGGGTTATGGAAGAGAGAATGGAAACTACTGTATCATAGCAGGGTGTAGTAGGGCTTGTGGACCCTGACCCCTAAACCCTTTCAGGATTTAGGTTTAGGGTTTTGGGTTTAGAGGTTTGGGTCGGGAACGGGCTCAGTTCTTAATTTGGTGCTTACGGGCTAGCTGAGGGTAAAAGGTAGGTCTTACCATCGGGTACATGAGAACATATTCCCTAAGTAGATAGAATATGGCTCTGGGTATATTACAATAAGATCCCCATATACCCCATATTCTATTTGCTTAAGGGGGACTATAACGTTACAGATCCACTCCCCATCTGTCCGTGAAGCAGCGCAGCGGTAAGCTGCGGGTCTATCCCTGTAGGTTGCCACCCACAGATTCCATGTAGGTATATTGAGTATGCACTCAGAGCCCAGCCGCCTTCCCACATAAGTAAATTTATGGCCCAGGTAGGTACCATAGAGCTGTGTGCACCCTTGGGACACTACGGGCAGACATGTGTTCCTATCTGAGGCCTGAGCATACACGCTCTTGCATTTATGGTTGATGCTACAAGCCCTGCAGGACCCTTAAGTACTTTATGTAACGTTTTGTGAACTATGATCTTACGGTCGACTCGGGTCGTGTTGATGTTCACAGTACCAGAAGTAGGACCCCCTAAACTCAAACCCTAAAACACAAAACTGTAGGGGGAAGGGAAGGGATGTAGCCTCATTAACCACCCAACTACCCGGCCCTATACTGGGCTCAGGGCTTGGGGTTCCTAACTTCCCGTCAGGTTCCCCTTCAATTATGTATATTTAGGCGACGAGTTAAGGAATATAGCCGGGAAGAGGGAGCATATGTTTAACACCCTCTGATTCATAAACAATGCTTGCGATGGGTTTTGGAGTCCATAATACGTATCTGACAGTCTATAAATCGTACCTGCGTCGGCCAAGCAGAGATCCAGGTGGGTAGTTACCAGGTGGGTACCCCCATTTAAAGTTCAGTTCAAGCTCGTATGAGGAGGGTATCCACCTGATGACTACCCACTTGAACTGGGCGAAACCCTGCACCCTAAGCCCTATTTGAGCTATAGTCTAAGCTCCTAGAGCATCCACCTGAATAAGCCCTATACTACTCCCCTATATCACCCCTCTTCAAGGGGTCTAGACCCTAAACCCTAAATCCTAAACCCCAAATCCCAAATCCTAAGCCCTAAACCCCATACACCCCCCTTTGAGGAGTTTAGTCTAGAGCTCATTTAACCTCCTATAGCATCCCCCTTAATGAGCCCAATACTACTCCCCTATATTACCCATTTAAGGGTTTAAACCCTAAATCCTGAACCCTATACACACCCCTGTACCTAGAGCCCCCAAGTACCCTCTATAGACCTTAAGTATCCCCAAATAGAAGCTACATAGACCCTATTTTAGGGTACTTGGGGGGAGGGGGGGGGGGCAGTACCCAAGGATACCTTAGACCCAAAAGACCTTCAGTTTGGGGGGTCTAGGTAAACCCTAAACCCTAAACCCTAAGGGGGCAAGCTGAGCCCCCATGCGCTCACAGAGCTTGACAGGTCCATCGCCTCGAGGCCGCATCATGTTTTCAAGGCATTTGGTAGTTCTAAAGTTTAGGTTTTAAGGTTTAGGGTTTAGGGTTTAGGGTTTAGAGTTTAGGGTTCAGGGTTTAGGGTTTAGGGACCTAAATAGAAAGCTCAAGATGCTATATGCCTTATGGTAGGGGCACCCTGAAAGCCCTAACCCCAGAACCCTAATGTGGGGACCCCCCCCCCCGTTTTGCTGAAAGACTTAATGGGGTGAAACGTGGCTGCAAGAAGCTTTAATTTACCTGGCCCTGACAGGTAGGCAAAGTACTGGCCGAAAACTATTTCTAGCATTTAGATTTTAGGGCTTAGGGTTCAGGGGTCAAGGGCTTTAGGATTTAGGCTTTAGGAGTTAGGGTTTAGGTTTAGGGTTTAGGGCTTAGGATTTAGGACTACATCTCTGCGTAATAGTCTGCAAGTGTGGAAAGAATTGTTACTGTTTATATTAAGAACAGTGCTCAGTATACTATAGTACCACAATATCCACGGTTCAGGATTTTTTGTATCTACCGTAGTAAGGGATTTTGGCAGCCTCCAACCCCAAAAAGTAGGACAGCTGTAGGCTCCTGATTTACATAATTAGTTGGGGGCTACCGAGAAACGTTTATCAACCAAAATAAGGTTTCCGGATACCCAGATAGAGTTGTAGAGGGACTAATCCCTTCCCCCTAATACTAGCCCACCACACCCCCTAATGTTAAATACTCCCAATATATTAAAATATACAACATAACTGGAATATTTGATATGGGGGGGGAGGTTGGGGGGCGTGAGTTATAAGCTATAAATATAATAATGAAGGTAATCCCTCAGGCTACTGCTTTACATGCGCAAGCATAGGGCACCATACCGTACGAATCTTCGGCCGGAACTGGTGTTCAAGGAACTTGCGTTTTGACAGACGGGTTCATAGGTTTAGGATTCTGGTGGACCTCCGAACTGGAAGCGGCAAGACACTCCACTTATAACCAGGATAGCTGCCATTCTGGCTACTACACTGAAGATCACTGAAGGTTCGTAATTGAATCCCGACCCCCCACATGAAACATTCCACCCCTTATTTCAAATGTAACCTATGAACATGCGCATTTACAGCATTTCGTTTGTGTTAACCTTAGGAGGGCAGGGGGCGTGCTGAGTCAAAATTGCTGGCAATTCCTTTGTCAATTTTCTGGGCCTGCCGAAGAAAGGACTCCTTCACAGCCTTCCGTATTCTCAACCCTTATGTTACAAAAGTTTATGGATTATAGGTGGTGCAAGATCTCCTGCACCAACCATGCGAGCCCTACAACAGCCTGTGAGGTGCGACGCCAAAGGTCAGACATATGGAACATGAGCGTAGGGATGACGTTATGCTACTATTCCGGTTTTTAAATTAGGGGTTTGGGTTTAGGGCTTAGGGTTTAGGGGATTCCGTCACCCTGGAGTAGAATGAAGCTTCTAGGGGCTGAAACCTTGGGCCCCTAGTATGGGCCCTTAACCCTGGATCCTTATATACCTACTATATATCCTATATGTACCCTTAAGGGTCCCTAGAATCCCCTTCAAAGGCCCAAGGGCCCATATTAGGGGCCCATACTTGAAACCTTAGAACCCTGTTATTCCAACTGTCAGGCTTAAGGCCCCTAAACCCTAAACCCTAAACTCTAAACCCTAAACCCCAAGCCACCACACTGATGTCCCAACTTTCTGGCTCCTGATCTACTTGCCCAGCCCAGAAAGACGGGCATGAGGGTTCCAGGGTTTGGGGTGTAGGGTTTTTAGGGTTTTTAGGGTTTATAGGGTTTGGGGTTTATAGGGTTTGAGGGTTTAGGGTTTGCGGATTAGGGTTTTGGGGTTTAGGCTTCAAGCGTTTTAGCCGTTAGGGCCTCCGAAGGACGACAGGCAGCGCCAGGGTCAGGAGCCTGCGGAGCCCTGGCAGCAGGGTAAGGCTTCAACGAATGGAGCGGTGAGGGCTTAGGATTTAGAGTTTAAGGGCTTAGAATTTAGGGTTTAGGGTTTCGGATCATAAAAAAAAGTGGGGAAACATATGCGGGAAAGTCGTATTTACACAACTTATGTGGGTAATATTGGAATAAAGCAGTTATGCGGGTTATGAAGGATTTACAGTAGGGATCATACCCCCATAATTGAGAATCACATGGAGAAGAAAACAGAACATGAAAGGGAAACTGGCGTCATCTTTGGGATATGTAAAACGATGTTGTAGTGTAGTGGCCTTAAATACTGAGTGTTACTATGTAAGCCAGATTACCAGCATCAATTTGAAGGCTTCAGCAGCTAGTGGCACAGTTGTGGGAGTTAAAACCCTAAACCCTAACACCCATAACCTAAGCATGAGCAGAACGGCAGGTTTTGGGGGTTCTCTTCATCAGGGAGACTTCTTCTTCGAAAGTGCCCGCAAAGCCAATGTACCCTGAACCCTGCACCCTAAACCCTGACTCCTCGACCCAAACCCAAACTCTTGAGCCCAAATCCCCAAGAGCCCTAGACCAGAAAACCCAATTAAGCCTCCCCTAGGAAGCCTTAAGCCTCAAAACTCTACCCCCTAAGCCCGGAACCCTAGCCCTGAAAACCAAAAAAACCCTCGAACCGCAGCCCTCAAGCCTAAGCCCTGGGCTAGAATTTGATTTAAGGCTTAGGCGCACGCCTAACTGTTGATACTACGAATCCTGCATGACCTGAGCATACTGGAGCACCATAATTCACAAGGTCTAGGACATTTATATAGGATCTGCAGTAGGATTTTTCGTACCCTCCGTAAACACTAAACCCTATATGAGCTTTAGTCTAAACTCTCCAAAAAGGAGCTATCTAGGGGATTATTATAAGGATTATTACGGGGGAAACTTGGAGTTCTCACTATAGCTGATGTGGCCCTATTGTATCTCCCTATAGCTCCATACCCTCAACCCTAATCCCTAAACCCTAAACCCCGTACGGCATGCCTTGGAGCGCAATTAGGCGGCCAGGGCTGCGAGCTTGGGCACAGTGGCATGTGCGGTATGGGGACGAGTAGCATCTAAGAGTTTAGGGCTTAACGTTCAGGGGGCTTCTGGATCTTGGGGTTTAGGATGTAGGGTTTAGGGTTTAGGGCTGTCGGTTCAGGGTTTGGGTTTAGAATGTAGGGTTTAGGGCTTGGGGTAGGGAGTTTTGGGTTTAGACATTACGGTTAAGGTTTAAGGTTTGAGTGCCCCCTCAACCCTGTGCCCCATTTCATTCGCAAGGCATCCGCCTCCAAACGTGAAATCCAAGGTAAGCCTTGCCCAGAAGCTTCTCCAAGCAATCCTCGGTGCTATCCCTAAACCTGAAGCCCTATAAACCCTAAACCCCAAACCCTAAATAGAATCCCTCGGAGTAACCCCCAGAAAAGTACCCGCAGCTTGGAGCAACCCGGTCCAAAATTCCCAATACATGATTAAGGACTTGGGCTACGGTGGATACTAAAATCTTCTGGTCTTCTGGTACTTAGTATACTCAGGTCATGCTGGATTTTTCATATCAACCGTACGAATCGTAGTATAGGTTCTGGGGAAATGTAAGTGTATGAATGTTGAACGCCTGGACCTCCAGGAATTAGCTTCTCCCCCAACTCTGCCTGCGCAGGCTTTGGCCTTTCGATGCCACACCCCTCGCAATATCACATATAGTCCGAACACACATGTCCACCAGCAAGAGCTACTAGGAGACCTAGATCTTAGCGGGAGGTATCGGGATTGGGATAGAGGTTATTGAGATTGGAGATAGACTTACTAAGTCAAACGAGGATCAAATGGTCCGAGCCCTAAACCCTAGACCCTAGGATCTAAGCAAGCGCGGCTGAACACTCGTGCCATGGCTTAGTGCTCCTGCGCCTATCCTTGCGTGTAGGAAAACATGCTACTTGCCAAAAAATACAGGTGCACCACATACAAAACCGTTGATACCTGTATATATATATATATATGCAGATGTATATGCCAGTCACTACCTTACATCCTTTACTTCCAAGATGAAGGAGATCTTCAATCAAAGAGACATGTCATCTGTGCAAACCTGTGGGGAACCAGCATGGCGAGCTTGCAAACCCCGTCCTTTCCTCGCCATGACCTTTACCCAGACCCCCAAAGGGATCTAAAAATTAGATCCCCTGGAACCATATGGGAAATTATATGAGGATTATATAGGGGTTATAATGGGTCTATATAGGGGATCTAATTTTTAGATCCTCCCAGGGGTCTGGGTAGGCCTTTAAGAAAAGTATCTGAAGCTTGTACGGTGGCCCTTGGGAGAGTAATGGCTTCGATTCCATGAGGGGTGGCAATTGTCCTTAATGGTTGAGAGTGTAGGGTTTGGCAACAATTACTTCGACAAATATCTGAGCTGAAAAATCTTTGGCAGCCCAGACCTTCTTACTCATGTTCCCTTATCAAGAAACCAAGCCCATATTTAAAAGCAACTAGATATCCGCCTCTGGGTAAATCCTCAATAGTTGGATTTAGGTTTTTGGATTTAGGTCGGAAAGGATTTGGGGCTGTGTCTAGTAAGAGCCATTTCTGACAAGCATTTTGCGTGAGTGGACCAAATATGATAAAAGTCTTTTTAGAATACTGTACCCAAAAGGAGGACTGGATTGAGTTTTATATTGGGAACTATCCCCATGTAAATTTCTTCTTCTACCATGTCGACCGAATAAGTCCCACATGAGCCAAACGACTGTATGTTCCCAGTGCCTGGTGCAAGTGCGGTATCTTGAGAATCATGAAGGCGGTCTGGGTTACCGACCGGCTTGACAAATAATAGTCCCAGAGGGTCCAAGTACCCAATAATTGGGTACTTGGTATTTGGGTAATAGTAATTATAATATTGGTTTTGGGTAAGTATATGATTATTGGGTATTTGGACCTTTAGGGAGTTGGGCTCCAGGGAGAGGGGATTCCTCATCACTCAGTACATAACCCGAAACACAGTACCTGTATTTAATCCTGAGCCCTAAACCCTAA